TTAGGAGAGAGAGAAAACACACTAAGCGACAAACAGTATGTAGATGAATACATGACAAAAATTGAAGTGATTGATGGACAAGTAACAGCACCTTTGCCAAAAAGGCATAATTTTTCAGAAATATGGAATCCAAACTTAAAAATGGGCGAGCAAAGAAGCAGATCTGTAATAAAATTACTTGAACGAGGAGGAAGACTCGCAGAGGAATACGAAAAATTCATTCAAGATTGGAAAGACACAAATGTAATAACACCAGTAACGCTTGGCGAATTACAAGCTAGAAATACGCCCTATACGGAACTCCCGCACCACGGTGTAGAAAGACCACACAGTGCCTCAACACCTCTACGAGTAGTCATAGCCGGTAATGCCGCAGACATTGGTAGAGCATCATGTAACGATTTACTAGAGACAGGACCAAAAATATTACCTGATCTCATCGATATACTTATACGTTTAGAAAGCATACCAAGAAAAACACATAACTGAAAATGAAGAAAACGAATTATCACAGAACACATATGTCGATGATGTAATAGTAACCGGACAAAATGTTAATGAAGTAAAAGAAAAAATACAAAAAACGGTAAATGCTCTATCAAAAGGAGGATTCATACTAACCAAAATAAGAACATCAGAAAAGGAAGATGAACTCAAAGAGGCATACAAAATACTAGGAATAAGATACGATCCCAATGACGACACATTAGCAGCCACAATAGATGCATCAATGAACTTTGAAAAGTTCAAACTACTAAGTCGCAGACAGGCAGCAGCTATCTTAGCTAAATTATTCGACATACTTGGGTTTGCAACTCCCTTTCAAACACAATGCAAATTAAAAATGCGGGAATATCTGCACAGGAATCCGAATGTAAGTTGGAATTCAAAGCTCACACAAGAAGAAAGTGAAACATTTCAGCAAATAGCTAGAGACACCATTAAGGCTACAACTTTGAAAATACCAAGAAATGTAATTGCGGAAAACGAAATTAAAGGAGAATTTCATGTATTCTCTGATGCGTCACAAAATGCAATCGCAGCAGTGGTCTATTACGTGTCATATAGTGAAAACACAATTAAATCAACGTTGGTGTGGGGAAAATCGAGACTAGCACCCTGCAACGAACAGAAAAAAGAAGCAAAAGACAAACGAGTAAAGAAATCCAAAAAACAGAAAACCACCTTACAAAAAGAAAAAAATGAAACATTAAAAATAAATCGTTTGGAACTTACAGCTGCATGCCTTGCAGTGGAACTGCTACGAATCACTAGGAAAGCACAAAATATATACACTTGCAAAGTACGCATGTGGACAGATTCTCAAGTAACGTTAGACTGGATATACTCGAATAGCATGAGCAAACCAACTTTCATATATTCTCGTGTAAATACCATATTGAAGGAAACAAATAAAGAAGATTGGCATCATGTCCCAGGTATAGATAATCCAGCAGATGTTGCTTCCAGGGGATGTAGCGTTGACCAAATACTAAATGATAAGCTATGGAAAAATGGGCCAGATTGGCTACCATTTCCTGAAAAATGGCCTAAACAGAGAGTCCGTGTTCACGCAACAACGAAAGTAGATGTCATTGACAAAGAAATTGAGATTTTAAAAGAAATCAAAACAATGACAAAAATGTTCAATGGTCTTTTTCTTTGGAACCAACTTATTAAACGCATAGCCGCATGGCAAAGATTTATCCTGTTCATGCCAATATTAATAGCAGCTGGTTTCTTTAAACACCGTAAAGATAGACAAAAAAGAATGAGAATCAATTTTCAACCACTAAAAGAGGACTTTTCAGTCCTTGAAAATCACATAGCAGAAAAGTCAGCAATACGTCTTATACAAAAAAGCTATGCTTATCACGAATGGAAAGTACTAAAAAAGGGTAACCGAATCATCGAAAAACCTGACTTAGACTGGGACAATAATGTTCAATGGTCTTTTTCTTTGGAACCAACTTATTAAACGCATAGCCGCATGGCAAAGATTTATCCTGTTCATGCCAATATTAATAGCAGCGGGTTTCTTTAAACACCGTAAAGATAGACAAAAAAGAATGAGAATCAATTTTCAACCACTGAAAGAAGACTTTTCAATCCTTGAAAATCACATAGCAGAAAAGTCAGCAATACGTCTTATACAAAAAAGCTATGCTTATCACGAATGGAAAGTACTAAAAAAGGGTAACCGAATCATCGAAAAACCTGACTTAGACTGGGACAAACAAAACGGATATATTGTTTCAAGGAGTAGACAAAGCATTGATTTTCAAACTGAAGTACCAGAGGATGATCCAGTCAGACAAACACTCATCTATCTACCAATGCCAAAAAAAGGACAAAAACCTAATCTAATGAAGTCCCTGTTAACATCCGTACATCGGGAAAACGGTCATTGTTCTGTAAACCGAATTCTAACAATTTTATCAGAAACATATTGGGCTCCGGGAAGCAGGAAAATTGCTAAACAAGTACGACGTGAATGCTTTCACTGCAGAAGATTTGATGGCAAACCTTTTCAAGTCCCAATAGCACCATTACCTGATTTTTGATATGCCGGAAGAACACCATTTCAGAAAATAGGAATTGATTTTGTAGGACCTCTTGAAACACTTAACTTTGACAAATCCAATCGAAATGTACATAACGCAAAACAGAAAAATAAGATACGCCAAAAAGGCTCTAAAGTAATACAACCCATACCCCCTAAGAAAATATCTCTGTGTGTCTTTTCATGTACCTTAACTAGAGCCGTACATATAGAACCCGTAAAAGATGTATCACTAGAATCTTTTATAGGGGCATTCGAAACATTCTGTCACAGACGTCACATTACGCCAGAGAAGGTTATTTCTGACAACGCAGCCACGTTTCGTAGTGCTTTCATATAGAACCCGTAAAAGATGTATCACTAGAATCTTTTATAGGGGCATTCGAAACATTCTGTCACAGACGTCACATTACTCCAGAGAAGGTTATTTCTGACAACGCAGCCACGTTTCGTAGTGCTTGGCCAAAATTTTTACAGTCACACAAAACACAGATTAAAAACAAATTCAAAAAAGTGAAATGGTATTTCAATGCCGCCAGGGCCCCATGGTGGGGTGGGTTTTACGAACGCTTAATGAGAGTCATCAAAGATTCCCTTGCCAGATCATTTAAAGGTGTACCATTTAGTAACGACAATACACTCTTAGCCGCAATCTCATGGGTAGAGAACACAATTAACTCAAGACCATTAACATATATATCTGACGATAGAGAGTCACCATTAATCATCACCCCTGCCATGTTTCTACATCCTCACCTAGCTGATCACTTTTAGCCGCAATCTCATGGGTAGAGAACACAATTAACTCAAGACCATTAACATATATATCTGACGATAGAGAGTCACCATTAATCATCACCCCTGCCATGTTTCTACATCCTCACCTAGCTGATTGGAATAGTAACTCCTTACACTATGGACCAAGGGCTTTGGAATTTCTTGAAACAAATGATAAGGGCGAATATACCAATCAAACCTTGTACCGCATCAAAGTTGTTGAAAAAATATGGCGTACGTTTTTTAACTCCTATGTCAAATCCTTGCGCAAATACCCTTACAAATTAAAAAATTCGCCTCTTGTCCCAAAAGAAGATCAACTCGTTTTACTTATTAATCATTCATTTAAGCAAAACTCACCCCTGGATCGACTGAGATGGCGTTTATGCAGAATTCATAAGGTCAATACGAGTCCCCGTGATGGCCTAATTCGATCAGTTGATGTCGTTATCACACACACAAATGATGATGGAACATGTGTCAATCAGATACTTCCGAATCAGTCTATTCAAAATCTCATCCCAATGGAAATGGAAGTTGATCAGTCAGAAAAATAAGTCAATGCCAAAGCAAGTCTAATCACCCTATTGGAATCAAAGACAAATTGAAAGCAGTAACACGTCATGTTTATAACAAAGACCTTCACGAAAAAAGAGAATACCCGTTTCGAACGTACGACTTTGACCTTTGATATCCGGCAAATGTAAACACAAGTTTAAACAATCAGACCGCAAAAAAAAAAAAACCCTTCATCGTCTCCCAGATCATTTTCATCCCCTAACAATCGAAAAAAGACAAAATCACAACGCAATCAGTTCGTATAAGCCGCGCACGTACGTACATCATAGTCACTTTCAAACCCCCTACTCATCACTCATCCCTCAAACAAACAGTTTCAGAAGCAAGTACAACATCACTTGATTCCACGTACAGTTGACCACCAAAACCAACCGTCCAAAAACCAGTAGGAGTTCGAGATATGACGATTCTGGTCCCCTTCACGTTTCGAATTTGTACTATGTCCCCAACTTCAATTTTTGACCGACTCCGGGCGTTACTTGTTGCAGCATCAGTCAGGAAGCATTCGTCAAAGTCAAACTTTCGCAACTTGGCAAGATCACTAAAACAAATTAAATTACAAACAATATGTTAGTCTTCTATTTTACATTTCCCTTCCTTCCTTTTTCTCTTATACTGTGTATACCTTGTTAATTATCAGATCTCTTGCCTACGTCTAAAAATTCATAAAATTGGAGTTTCAACTTACATATTCCCAGTGGGAACTAATGGTCCAACACAGTCTGAAACTGGTCCAAAGGATCCACTATGCCCATGCAGATTATCAGGAGCCAAACCCACTGCCACTGTTCCATCATCAAGCCACCTAGGATATTGTCCTGAGCAGATTCGTCCCACTACCTTTTCATAGCCTGGCAACATTCGAATCCCACGCCACATGGAAATGCAGTGATACTTAGCGAAAATCAAGTAACCAGAAGGCGTAATATGCCCAAAATCTGATAACTTTCCACGACCACTGCTATACGCTCTCAGCCCATCAATGGGTGTAGGCAAAGCGATCCATCCCAGATTTCTTTCCGCATCAACAACATTCATGACCCCATCAATACCTGCTAATCGCCTGTAAATTTCGTTCAGATAAATGCGACCAGCTCTCTCCCTATCTTCTTCCTCCACAAGGTCAACATTATCCAAACACCTTAAAGGTACTAATGGCAATCCATTTTGGTCAGCATCCAATACCACACTTGTAGGACTCTCCAATAATGGTGATACAGAAGGCGGAGCTGCTCCCAAAGCAAACACGTTGCAAGCGAAGGCCTTTACGAGATTTCCCATGAACTGCTCATATTCTTTGTAAAAGGCTTCAAAAGTTGGAAAACGGACGTCATAATACTTGAAGGTGCACAGGCCCTTCACATCATTTGTTCCGATACGCAAGTAGATTTGAGCAAACTTGTAATTTGGTCCCAAATGCAACCCGTTGAATATCACGTCCCGCAATGCCTTCATCGATAGACTGTTGCGTCGCATCACCGCACACCATCCACTAATCGATACCTATTAATAGCATGACATATACTTTTCTGTTATTTTTTTTTGCGCCATGTCTTAACACTAACCTGATTGATTTCAACTTTCATCCCTGCTGTCAAATATGCAAAGTTTGGAATCGGTCGCCGCATATTTTGAAAATCCGCAATCCTTGTTCGAAAAACCCATTCACCAAGTCCCCATCCACTCGTCATAGACGTACTTAGAATTAGGATTGCTGGCAGATCCGAATTTTCCCGTAAAGGCCCAGTGAATCCATAGTCATCCGTAGCGAATCCGAAATCCTCGAAGACACAGCCAGGAATAGGCAATGGGATCTTCCAGTCCCCCAGTAAATCGAGTAGACGATCCGTAATCTTCATTGCGCGCGACGCATTCCGAAAATATTGCATCTCATTCTCAGGCACGAATTTTGTCATCAGGAATATTTTACAAATTACATCTGTAAGACATCATAAAACATACATAAACAAATTAATCACTACGCNGAACGTTTAATGAGAGTCATTAAAGATTCCCTTGCTAGATCATTTAAAGGTGTACCATTTAGTAACGACAATACACTTTTAGCCGCAATCTCATGGGTAGAGAACACAATTAATTCAAGACCATTAACGTATATATCTGACGATAGAGAGTCACCATTAATCATCACCCCTGCCATGTTTTTACATCCTCACCTAGCTGACTGGAATAGTAACTCCTTACACTATGGACCAAGGGCTTTGGAATTTCTTGAAACAAATGATAAGGGCAAATATACCAATCAAACCTTGTACCGCATCAAAGTTGTTGAAAAAATATGGCGTACGTTTTTCAACTCCTATGTCAAATCTTTGCGCAAATACCCTTACAAAATAAAAAATTCTCCTCTTGTCCCAAAAGAAGATCAACTCGTTTTGCTTACTAATCATTTGTTTAAGCAAAACTCACCCCTGGATCGACTGAGATGGCGTTTACGCAGAATTCATAAAGTCAATACGAGTCCCCGTGATGGCCTAATTTGATCAGTTGACGTCGTTATCACTCACACAAATGATGATGGAACATGTGTCAATCAGATACTTCCAAATCAATCTATTCAAAATCTCATCCCGATGGAAATGGAAGTTGATCAGTCAGAAAAATACGTCAATGCCAAAGCAAGTCTAATCACCCTATTGGAATCAAAGACAAATTGAAAGCAGTAACACGTCATGTTTATAACAAAGACCTTCACAAAAAAATGAGAATACCCGTTTCGAACGTACGACTTTGACCTTTGATATCCGGCAAATGTAAACAGAAGTTTAAAACAATCAGACCGCAAAAAAAAAAAAACTTTTCATCGTCTCCCAGATCATTTCATCCCCTAACAATCAAAAAAAGACACAATCACAATGCAATCAGTTCGTATAAGCCGCGCACGTACGTACATCATAGTCACTTTCACACCCCCTACTCATCACCCCTCAAACAAACAGTTTCAGAAGCAAGTACAACATCACTTGATTCCACATACAGTTGACCACCAAAACCAACCATCCAAAAACCAGTAGGAGTTCGAGATACGACGATTCTGGTCCCCTTCACGTTTTGAATTCGCACTATGTCCCCAACTTCAATTTTTGACCGACTCCGGGCATTACTTGTAGCAGCATCAGTCAGGAAGCATTCGTCAAAGTCGAACTTTCGTAACTTGGCAAGATCACTAAAACAAATTAAATTACAAACAATATGTTAGTCTTCTATTTTACATTTCCCTTCTTTTCTTTTTCTCTTATACTGTGTGTACCTTGTTAATTATCAGATCTCCTGCCTACGTCTAAAAATTAATAAAATTGGAGTTTCAACTTACATATTCCCGGTGGGAACTAATGGTCCAACACAGTCTGAAACTGGTCCAAAGGATCCACTATGCCCATGCAGATTATCAGGAGCCAAACCCACTGCCACTGTTCCATCATCAAGCCACCTAGGATTTTGTCCTGAGCAGATTCGTCCTACTACCTTTTCATAGCCTGGTAACATTCGAATCCCACGCCATATGGAAATGCAGTGATACTTAGCAAAAATCAGGTAACCAGAAGGCGTAATATGCCCAAAATCTGATAACTTTCCACGACCACTGCTATACGCCCTCAGCCCATCAATGGGTGTAGGCAGAGCAATCCATCCCAGATTTCTTTCTGCATCAACAACGTTCATGACCCCATCAATACCTGCTAATCGTCTGTAAATTTCGTTCAGATAAATGCGACCAGCTCTCTCCCTATCTTCTTCCTCCACAAGGTCAACATTATCCAAGCACCTTATTTCTTTCCGCATCAACAACGTTCATGACCCCATCAATACCTGCTAATCGTCTGTAAATTTCATTCAGATAAATGCGACCAGCTCTCTCCCTATCTTCTTCCTCCACAAGGTCAACATTATCCAAGCACCTTAAAGGTACTAATGGTAATCCATTTTGGTCAGCATCCAACGCCACACTTGTAGGACTCTCCAATAATGGTGATGCGGAAGGCGGAGCTGCTCCCAAAGCAAACACGTTGCAAGCAAAGGTCTTTACCAGATTTCCCATGAACTGCTCATATTCCTTGTAAAAGGCCTCGAAAGTTGGAAAACGGACGTCATAATATTTGAAGGTGCACAGGCCCTTCATATCATTTGTGCCGATACGCAAGTAGATTTGCGCAAACTTGTAGTTTGGTCCCAAATGCAACCCGTTGAATATTACGTCCCGCAAGGCTTTCATCAATAGACTGTTGCGCCGCATCACCGCACACCATCCACTAATCGATACCTATCAATTGCATGTCATATACACTTTTGTTATTTTTGCGCCATGCCTTAACACTAACCTGATTGATTTCAACTTTCATTCCAGCTGTCAAATACGCAAAGTTTGGAATAGGTCGCCGCATATTTTGAAAATCCGCAATCCTTGTTTGAAAAACCCATTCACCAAGTCCCCATCCGCTCGTCATAGATGTACTTAGAATTAGGATTGCTGGAAGATCCGAATTTTCACGTAATGGCCCAGTGAATCCATAGTCATCCGTAGCAAATCCGAAATCCTCGAAGACACAACCAGGAATAGGCAATGGGATTTTCCAGTCCCCCAGTAAATCAAGTAGACGATCCGTAATCTTCATTGCGCGCGACGCATTCCGAAAATATTGCATCTCATTCTCAGGCACGAATTTTGTCATCAGGAATATTTTACAAATTACATCTGTAAGAAAACATAAAATGTACGTAAAACAAATTAATCACTACGCCAGTAAACAGAATTTTCTAACAAGTCAAAGCAACTTTACCATCCAATAGTAGCTCGAATTCGGTTCGTACAGAACTAGCATCACTTTGTGCATAATTCATTACAACTTTATCATCGCCGATCACAGGCTGTACCTCAATACTTCTCCTTATAACAGAAGTATTTGGAGCAGTCTCATCTGGTACGCCCGCAATTCTTGTAGGAAGTAACCCCTTGTTCATATCTCGAATCCATGATAGCAAGAGACCGTCACTAGGCCCCAACACCAATTCAGCATCACGGAATCGCAGGGTCGTTATACCATCTATCATTCATCATTAAGAAATAATTAGGTTCTGAAACATATGATTTCTTCTAGCTCATTAGGATTACACTCACTTTCTTCACGTCCCGTAAAAGAAACATCATTGGCAAGATACCAACGTCCTGAACCTAATGCCTCGTTTATCGAACAAGCATCACTTATTAGTACCCGTTGAAATGCCTCTTTCAAGGCATTGTCAGCCTCTCTTTGCAGTTCCCTTGCACGATCCAGCAGAAGTTGATCTTTCATGATCTTTTCTCTTAAATCATCTTCTGTTCCCTTCAGCTTTATTGCGTTAGTTTCCAAAAGCATGCACTCTTCTCCGATTTCTGCGATGCGCACCTTTTTTAAACGTAGCTCCCTTTCTGCACCTCGTAATTCGGACTCGGCTACGAATTCACTATGCATCACCTATTCCACACAAATTCAGAATCACAAACCATACCAATTCTTCATTTCTCCGTTATTCTATCTCCCCTTTCTTGTATTCCAAAGAATAAGTTGTGCAAAAATAGTCATATAAACAGACGAACCTTTAGAAATCTCGCCAACCGAAGACGTTGTTCAATCGAAAGCGACTTTACCCCTTTAAGCTGGTTTAATTTGGACATCATAGATGTTTCACCGTCCAGAGATGCTCCTTCGGCACTGTTATGCACTCTCTTCCTTGAGTTCACGTCGATCGTTTGAATTCTTCTGACCAATTCCGTCAGTTCCTCTGTGTATTAACAAATGGCAATGCATCAACCCGCTAATCTTTTGCGTCTTTTCAGTTTACATACCAGTTGCTTCTTCAGGTGTCTTCGAAGGTCCGCCACAAGCCATCGTGTCAAGTAACTGCAAACTCTTTCGCTCGATATGATCTTCTTGATCACAACTACGCCGCAACCAAACCGCCGACTTTCAAGAAGGAACCTTTTGATTTCACAATCAACGATTCACAAAAAGAAACCTGTATGCAATTGAAGACAACGCCGAGTTCAAATCAACTATTTGAAAGATTACGCAACTTCGCATGTTTCACGTTTTACGTTTCAAGTTTTGCTTTCGTTCGTTTCAATTACGTTTCAAGTTTTGATTTTGTTCGTTTCGATTATGTTTTGACCTGAGCCAGTTTGCTACTTTACCGTGTTGGCTGCAGGTACATTTCATGGCGCCGAAATTCCGTCTTGCATGCACTTTCGATTTCGATGGACTTTTTCCTATCTCACTTGTCTCACTTTCTATCGATACGTAACGCGTCTTCCTCATTCCGGTATAAACTGGCCACTTATACTGGAATGAAGATACTGGGAACACTTTTGCTCACTTTCTCCTTGCTTCCATAACCTTCTCGAAATTTCTCGCAGACACTAGTAATCCTCTGATTCAGCTTCACCATGCAAAATCTGGTGAATCTTCGACGTAATCCTCTTAATGCTCCGAAATTTTCTGTGCAGTCTAATCTGCCTGATGGCGATCTCTGTCCTCCACACAATAGTTGCGCGTCACCTTAATCTGAAAGAGGTGTCACTGCTCCGGGGGGTTTTTGTGGGGGACAGAGGTCGCCAGCCTCGCAAAAGTACGAGATCCACGTTGGAATTCCAGCGGGGAATTCCAACGTGGACCAGTTTGATTTAACCTCCATTTTCTCTTTTCTTATTTCTACACAGTCTCAGTTTACTTCGCGAACAGTAAGCATCTATTTACAACTTGTGATTTCGAAATATATTTGTTGCATTTTTCCTTTTGGAGCTCTTACCGAGGAGCTCCCTGCCGTGTTCCCCGGCGGTGTTTGTGTTTCATTTTTTTGCCATTCATTTTATCTTTTCATATTTTCCGACCTAATTTGCATTCTTTGTGGCCTGTGCGCCACAGCACTGAGTGTCTTTTCATTTTAATTTTTTTTTCAACTATTAATTTGGTAATTTATTTCAATGTAGTTGTTACTTTCAGGGCCCCCCTGAAAAAGCCAAAAGCCCCCCTTTTCCGGGGGGGGCTTTTTTGCTGGGGCGGGCTTTTGGTTGAGTACCGACATGTAACCTTGTTCATTCATTTTCTCAGCAAATCGTGTCTCATACTCAACCAGAAGTTTAGCAGGTGTTCTTCCAACAACTCATTTGCAAATTCTCTCCAATCACCAAGTGTTTCAATAATAATCTTGCATGAGCAATTAGAAGCGTTTTCTCAAATTACATCACAGTGATCACACACATATTTGGGGCCCAATATTGCACCTGGAATACCCATATTTACTCAAGTACCATGCGCCCTTCAGTAAGGCGTGGGCACAAGGGTTTTTCCGTTGGAAATTTTGCTAAAATCTTATCCCCGAATAAGACGCACACCCCACCTTCCAGTGACTGTAAAACTACGAAATTTCATAAATAAGAACAAAAAATTTGACTTTAGACACAAATTTAACATAAATCTGATCAATTTTCAACTTTTTCAGTAAAATAAAGAGTTTTCTTGTTACATCTGTTCCAAATTTCTCCATTATAATAAAGTAAGATTTAAGAAAGATTTAAAAGTACTGTACTGGAATTCAATGAAGAGACCCTTTCTGAAATTTTAAAGGATCAAGATAAACTGTTGGCTTTATTTGATTTCTCATCAAAGATTCTCTCTAATTTGTTCATCCAACTAAACCTCATACAGAAACAAGCTGAAGACCTTGTGCTTTAAATTAATTTTTAAATATATTTTGTTACCAATGTCAGGGAATGAATGGGTGTATGCATATATGTCAGATGTCCAGTTGTATTTCATGTTTTGTATTTTCTTTTATTTTTGTTATCAATTTGTACTTTCCTGCTCTGAAGTGATTAAATGTCATTGACTGGATTTGGGTTGGGTGGGAAAGGGGTTTGGTTGTGGAAATCTTGATTGAACCTTGTGAACGCTTCAAAGCGGCAAATAAAGTGTTCTGTTCATTCATTCATAAAGAGCGTAAACAGTGGGAAGATTGTAGAGTTCTGGACATTTTCCATACTTTCATCTACAAGATTATACGATTACAAGTGTGATATGAGTCTAATTCCGCGCGGAAAATGAATCAGTTACGAAAAATAGCCATCACCTTCTCAAATTTTTTTAACGCATTGACGACTTTGGCAATTTAAACTGAATACAGTAAAATCTCGTTACAACAAACTTTTGGGGACCGCAGGAAAAGTTTGTTATAACGGATAAATTGTTGTAACGAGATTATGGAAAAAAATGCCTGGAAAAATTTTTTCAGCTCAGTTCTGCATACTTTCAGAATCAGGCTTGTGTTCAGTTTAAGAACTCAAATTATTCTTTGAAAAAATCAGTGATTTTCTCCTGAACAAAATTCTTTTTCACTGCTGTTGGGATGTATGATGCCCAGATCCAGAGGCTGAAGAATTGCAGTGCAGTTTGGTGGCAGATACTCCACTTATTGCACATTCATCTAGGCAAGGAAGAATAGTGTGGACAGAGCATTTGTCCCAAATGAGAAACTTTTTCCTTTTTTAATTTTCATGTCTTTGTTGACCTGCTTCAGACATTTAACAAAAATTGCAGTGGTCATCCAGGCACACTTGTACATTCTTGAAACAAGGGGGTTTTGCTGCTTTTCCTGTGATAAGTAGCCTTGACTTATCTGTCTCTGAAGCATTAACAGAAGAGGGATGTCAGTCTCTGCTTTGATTTTTTGCCAACATGAGAAAGGTATCTAACAGCCAATGTGAAATTTGGTAACAACTTTTAAAAAATGCCCATTTAATCTGCATTGAAAATACTGTCAGGGCTGTAGGATGCAATGATAATTTTTTCCATTCTATGATCTGCCACTCATTCATTTTTTTTGGTGAGAACTGCAGATTCTTCCCCACAGATCACTTCAGCTGAAATTCAAAATCAATCACAGAAACAATTAAGCCACCCAACACTGGCTACAAATGATTTGAGGTCAAATGAAAGTGCCAACTGCCTGGATTTCTCCTGAATTAAGGGTATATTTATGCAAATGTTGCTAGATGGCACTTCTTGAAAACATGCAAACACAGCCTGGTCCAGGTTTTCATGAGCAGCAGTCTGCATTTGCTTGCAATAAGGTCCCATGTTGAATGTGGATTTGGGTTGGGTGGGAAGGGGGTTCGGTTGTGGAAATCTTGATTGAACCTTGTGAATGCTGAAAAGCAGCAAATAAAGTGTTCTGTTCATTAATTCAATCATAATGAAGTACTGTATAATTCACACATAACTTCCTAAAACGTCTTGAAAAATGTGTACCCGCTTATGACGCGCACCCCTTTTTCTTCTTCTGAAATTTGAGAAAAAAAAGGTGCGCCTGTGGTGCTCGAGTAAATACGGTCAAGTCCAGCAATTGATGGGCAACGCACTCTGACGGGTTCAAACCTGACCTTGACTACAATTCGGTTTGGGTCCGGCGTCGTCGTCGTCGACGTCGACGTCACAAACAACCCTCCTCCTCCTCCTCCGTCGCCAATAACGCCTGTTGTTGCTGCTGTCGGCTGCTGTTTACTGATTCTTTTCAGTCCGTTCCAATAATTGGTGGTGGTCGTGGCACCGGTGTTTGAAGGTGAGAAACGACCTTGTTTGCTGGGCTCTGTTCCGACAGACGGAGACCTGGATCTCGGTATCGGCCTCGGGTGATCTTCCGGCAGCAACGAGGTCTGAGTAGGTCGTCGTCCACCACTTATTATTAGGTCACTCGTCTCATCCCCGACGTCGCCGTTTCCTGGCGTCGACTCATCACGGAAACTCTCTTCTGCGAATAATGGAGAGGAATGCATTCATCAAACGTATGCATTTTAATGGAGCTTTCTCAGAAAATTTGAGACTTTTTTTTTTAAGAAATCAAAATAAAAAAGTGGGTGTCCTACTGCGTTTCGTCATGCGGAAACGCAATTTACCTTGAGGCTATATGTTATTATTAATTTTTAAAATTCATTTCAGGCACTCGCAGTATAGGAAAAACATAAATGAAACATAACCCACAGTTTATTTTTACTTATTTTTCCCGCAAAAAAGTTAAATTTTAAATTTAGCGGTGATACTCGTACATTTTTGGTAAATCTGCTTCTGGCGAATTTGTGCTCTGGACTTTCCGAACTTCTCGAGTTTTATAGTGACTAGAATATGACTTTTTTTTTATTTCCGTCGCTTTTCTCAATTCTGAATGTGTATATATAGCCTTCAAACATTTCCTTTCCCTGAATTTTTCAAGAAAAACAAACTCCGAAATTTGTTGACATTTTTAGCACTTTTGCACACACAATTTCGAATGTCACTTTTTTTTTATCTTGAAATCTCTCAACGCGCTAATATTTTTTTGTTTTTTTTTTGTTGGGCGAGTATTTTGTTATGTGGGGAATAATTGTACTGTACACGATTTTTTGCAGATTTTGCTCAAAGCGGAATTTGTTATTTATATGCATCGCAGTTAGAGTGCAAAAAAAAACGCCTCAGATTTGCTGGTAAAATGATGAATCATCGTCATCATCCTCTTCTCTCTCTCTTTTTTCATGCATCGAAATATTTAACCCTTCATGCCCGAACATTTCGAGAAAAACGCGCCACACGACGTCGACTTTTTCGACTAAACTCGCGCAAACTTCGCGGTGAGCAAAGCGCAAAAAATTCGGGCGGAAGTCACTCGGAGCACGAACCAACTCACGTACTGTATACACACACACGCGCACAAACGGGCTGTACACTTCACATTCTTCATTTTTTTTTCTTCAAACTTGAATGAAAAATGGGGGGGGGGGGTGCGTGAATTCGGAATAAAGCAAACAAAACAGAAGTGAGCGAGAATCGTGAGGAAAAACGTCTAAACAAGAAGGCGTACATAATCACAAACCCTCTGGTCCCTTTTTTTTCGTTGGATTTTTTTTTGTCACTATTTTTCGCTCTGTAATTTTTAAATTCTCATTCTTTTTCTCTTTTATTTTTTCGTGTGTGTGTGCGTGAGTTTAGACGGCTTCTTAATGAAATCCCGTAGGCCCAAAAATCTCGCAGGGTCCAAAAATCCGGTAGGTACAAAAATCCCAATGATTACTACAAAATTGTAAAATTCTCTCTGCAGTTTCCCTTTCAACTGTCTGGAAGGAATAAAAATCTGGTGGATTAAAGAAATTGTGAAAGTGCGAGGGTTTTAATTCCTTCCAAAGGGGTTTTGGGAGATTTAGGGATTACCTTTCTCCATAGAACCCTGCCTTATTCACTTCCTCATATTTCTCAAGAGAAAGGTGAGGAAAGCCTGGGAAATATGTTGCCTTCATTGTTGCAAATTTAGTCAGAGGTTTTGAAGAAATGAGCAATTTCTCATGTCAGTTTCCTAGCAACTTAATAATCTCTCAAAGGGAGAGCGCCAAATGGCAATTCTCAAAAAGACCAAGCCATAAAAAGTACAAGTCACTGCAATTGTTGAAACTTGTCCTTGGATATTTTCCGTGAGAGTTGGGTTTCACCCCAGCTCCCACAAGGAATAGAAATGGACCTTTGGTCCTAAAAAAAAAAAACCCAAAATCTTTAGAAACCAAAACAGTAAGTGAACACTAGTTTTAAAAATAGCGGATGTCGAAATCAATGCCTAAAATCTCAGTGGAAATTTCCATGAAAGGGAACTTCTCAAAAGCCAAAAGGTCTGTGCAAAAGAACTCACTATCTCTTGAACCTCAGTAACATGCAGTTCCAGCACAAGTACTCAGCAATTTTGTGATCAAAACTCTTATGCAAATATATCAACTTTAAAATAGGATGTTCTCAAGTACCCTGGTTATTGTAGCCCAACCAAATCTTTTGTACCCTTTATTTCCCCATTGTTACAATTGGAAATCTAGTTCTCTGTAACAAAATTGGTCCATGCCGGCATTGTTTTTGATATAAACTGTGCACTTTTCTAATGATATTTTCACAGCTCAACTTGGCCTTCTGAAGGAATAAACTTGCATCAATTTGGGTGGAAATCTAGTAGAGTTGAAAACTTGTGGAATTTTTATAAATGTTTTTTTTTTTTAGATTCCCTACATACATCATGTACGGTACAATACCGTACTTCAGTAACACGCGCCCTTGAGTAAGGCGCGCAGAGGTTTTTTTCAGTTGGAAATTTGGCTAAAATCTTATACCCAAGTAAGACCAGTACCCCAATTTTTAGTGAATCTAAAACCACAAAATTTAGAAAATAAATTCAAAAAATTTGAATTGTAGATATGAATTTAACAAAAATTTGATCAATTTTTAACTTCTTCAGTACAAAAAAGTTTTCTTGTTACATTTGTTTGAAATTTCTCCTATATAATTAAGTATAATGCACACATAACTTCCTAAAACTTATTGAAAAATGTGCACCCACTTATGACGCACACCCCTTTTTTTCTTCTGAAATTTGAGAAAAAAGGTGCGCATGGTACAATACTTGAGTATATACGGTATATTAAATATGAAGATTGAAAATGAAATATCACTATACATAACTGCATTTAGACTTCGTTGATAATTTATAATTCTTTGCATACCATTGCCTTCCGTAGTTTTCAAATATGAGGTTCTTATATGATATACAAATTTCCTTTTTTCGGGATTTTTGGACCCTTTGAGATTTTTGGGCTTGGGGGATTTTTGTGCCCCGGGATTTTCTCCTGCACCCGTTTGGACATGAAAAAAAAAAACGGGAAGAAGAAAAGGGGGAAAAGGAGTCGACAGGGAGGAGAAAGAAAATTATTGTGGACAAAGAGAGAAGAATAAAAAGAAAAAAAATTCAGCGGGGATGCCGTATTTTGTCGTCGTCACGGCGCGAACACGCGCGCAATCCGCCCAGAAACACGTCGACGTCGTAAACATCCCAAGTTTCTCTTCTTTTTTTGGTTTAAAAAAAACAGCCTTTTTTCTGAATATTCGACTCTTTCTTTGCTTTTCGTCACTTCCAGCAGCACATCACTATATATATACAGACTTCCGTTTCCTATGAGGAATTTGTAGAAAACGGGCTTGTTTTGGATGAAAGAAAAAAAGGATCTCCAGAAATTTCGAGAAATGCGGATTTTTTCTTTTCAGAAAGACGAGGAAGTTATTTTGCAACTAACGTGAATTGAACAAATGCAAAAGTTGTACACCTGTCCACAGCAGATCTTATCTCTTCTGGTGGAATCAGAAGTCTGCATGTTATCAACAAAAAAAACCGCATATACATTATAATGTTATCAGACTTGAATTAGATCTTCAAGAGATACAAAGATTTAAAGATGCCTCTTATTGAGTCTTTATACAGGTATTTTATTACTGTACTCTACCATCCTATTGTATTGTTGATTTAGGTCTGACAACTTTATTTGACGAGGAGATTTCTTATCCTTATTGCCACAAGTTTATATCAAGTGAATACTCCTCAAGAAGTTTCTTGAAAAAACAATGTAAGTGTTTATTCTCATATTTGACAAATATAGCGTCACAAAATTTTCAATAAGATGAGCTTAAAAAGAGAATGAGTTTTACTGGCGCCAAACTCATCCTCCAGTAATGTCTCTGAGAACTCAAAGTCACCCAACCTCTCATGGCCTTCCTCTCAAGGAAACCCTTTTCTGACCTCCAAGGTCATACATTCCTTCTCAAAAATTTCTGATCAATGAAGAGTTCAAGGGTTCATCTCTATCTGAGCTTCTCTGAATGTTCTCCTGTTTTCCAAATGTTCAAACTGTGATTCATTCTATTTTTTGATAGTGTGCAAGCAATTTTGGGGTTTGAGGTTTTGAAATGCAATAAGTATTCCAAAACTGTGAGAAAATATAATAAATTTAAACTAGGGTTTAATTCACCCCAGCTGTAGCCCAGCTGAGTAAAGTGTTTAATTTGTAAAATTGGATATCTCTAAAACTATATTTCTCGAAGATAGACTAACAGCATAATTTGACTTCAATAAGTAACCAGCAGGCAATGAGTGCGCATAAGGAGACAGGCAGGTAGCTTCATATAGACTTTTAGGTCCAAGATTGGGCAAGACTGGTCAGACCCAGATGTGACCTTGTTTCAAGGACTATTGCATATTTTGCTGCAGCACCTGACTTGGCACAGCACATCATATAGAGAACAATAAAGTAGGGAAACCAGCAACTGCTTCAAGCATTGTTAGCTATAGAAGGAATGACAGGATTTTGAAGGCAATAAGTTAAAGTGAAACCTCTTCAGAAATGAACTTCAAGAGACCAACTGAATGAATTTGAGTTAATAGATATGTTATGAGCTGGGAAACAATCATTTTGTTGGGGAAAAGAAAGAATAATCACTGGATATTGTAATTGGCAATATTTCAGGGCTTGAATGACTTCTAGAATTACTTGATAAGACGCTGAATTTGGAGGCAAGGATTCATTTGCCAAATTAGTCTTTCACTTCCTTTCAAAACACATGAAGTTATATTGTTAATGCTTTTCTCTTCCCTGTGTTGATGAAATACTGTGATAGCGAAAAAGGCCCCCAGAAAAGTTGAGCTATGGACGTTTGATGGGAATGTCTTTGATGAGTAAGGGAGGTTTTTAATGCATTGGTTTTAAAACAGAATCCAGGCAGGGATTTGAAAATTTTTTGACAAATGGGAGGATGGAGTTGTTAGGGATTCCCAGGCACAATACTGAAATATTAAATTAATAAACCACCAGCTTCCCCTAAACCAGTGCTGTGCTTCAGGAGCCTCACAGCACCAAAGAACTTGCCCCCAAAAAACCTTCAAAACTTGTAGGACATTGCTGCAGGTTCTGTTAAATTT